GCATTCACCGGTTTCCAAATTCACCACACAGGGTAACCTGCGTCAAGACGCGAGTCGGCGATGAGTCATCCCGTCCAATCCATTTCCAGTGATGTAGAGAAGGCAGCCATGCCGTTATCCCGAGTAACCCCTCGTGTGCCAGACTCCTCCTGTCAGGTCTACAGGATGTCACACTAAATCTGTCTAAATAACAAGGGGGGAATTCTTCGAAATTAGCTGCGGCGAAAACCCTCGCTCCCACAAGAAGCGGCTGCCGCGGTTATCGCCGTTAAACACTCTGCGGGGAAATTAAACCGCCCCGCCGTATGGCCGCAATAACATCCAGTTAATCGTCTGCGCTGTCCTATTACGAAGCCATGTGAAAGGCGATCACTTCGCTGACAGTCGATGCGTCTCTGGGGCTGCGACGTAACGCATTTCAGGCGTGATTACCCAAAGGTCCAAATTATTAGAGGGCTGGAGGGAGGATGAGCAGAGGAAGTGCTGGAGTCAGCAAAAGGTAGGAGAATCACACAGGACACAACCATCAGGACTGGATAGGAGGCTACAACCGGAACGGAGAGATTCTCTACTGGGACAATACCATCCAGTGGTTTCCAGTTCTATTTTGAGGTGTGTTTATCCAGATCTCTGCACTGTACTCCAAAAATAACCAATAAAAAAAGTAATTATTTCCCTGCCTGGAGTCTATGCAAGCTTCCACTAAATATCTGTGGACACCTGACCATCACACCTACATGAGCTTGTTGGCTATCCTATTCTAAAAGCATGGCCTTCAGTATGGAGTTGACACCCTCATTCCTTTGGATACAGTCCTTACAAGTCTGCAGACACTTGACCATCACATCTACATATATGGACTTGTTGGCCATCTTATTCTAAATTATGGCCTTGGTTATGAAGTTGACCCCCTTACCACTTTGACAATACAAGCCTATACAAGTCTGTGGACACTTGACCCTTGCACCTATATGAACTGGTTGGCCATCTTATTCTAAAACCATGGCCTTCAGTATGGAGTCGACCTACTCACACCTTTGAAGTACAGTCTATACAAGTCTGTGGACACTTGACCCTCACACCCATATGAACTGATTGGCCATCTTATTCTAAAATCATGGCCTACAGTATGGAGTCGACCTACTCACACCTTTGGGGTACAGTCTATACAAGTCTATGGACAATTGACCCTCGCACCTATATGAACTGGTTGGCCATCTTATTCTAAAAGCATGGCCTTCAGTATGGAGTGGACCTCCTCAGGCTTTGAAGTAAAGTCTATACAAGTCTGTGGACACTTGACCTTCATACCTATATGAACTGGTTGGCCATCTTATTCTAAAATCATGGCCTTCAGTATGGAGTCCATCTACTCACAACTTTGGGGTACAGTCTATACAAGTCTATGGACAATTGACCATTGCACCTATATGAACGGGTTGGCTATCTTATTCTAAAACCATGGCCTTCAGTATGGAGTCCATCTACTCACACCTTTGGGGTACAGTCTATACAAGTCTATGGACAATTGACCCTCACACCCATATGAACTGATTGGCCATCTTATTCTAAAACCATGGCCTTCAGTATGGAGTCAACCTCCTCACACCTTTGGGGTACAGTCTATACAAGTCTGTGGACACTTGACCCTCACACCCATATGAACTGATTGGCCATCTTATTCTAAAATCATGGCCTACAGTATGGAGTCGACCTCCTCACACCTACAGTCTATACAAGTATGGACACATGAACATTACACCTATATGAGCTTGATGGACACCCCATTCCAAAACTATTTGACGTTACCCCTTCTCAAACCCTTTACACCCATACCTTGCAACTTTACACAAGATTTTGGAAGGCGTCTGTGGATATTTGTGACACTTGACTATCACATTTTCATACATGGACTTGTTGACCATCTTGTTCTAAATTATGGCCTTGGTTATGAAGTTGACCCCCTTACCACTTTGGTCTACAGTCTATACAAGTCTGTGGACACTCGCACCTATATGAACTGGTTGGCCATCTTATTCTAAAATCATGGCCTTCAGTATGGAGTCGACCTCCTCACACCTTTGAAGTACAGTCTATACAAGTCTGTGGACACTTGACCATCACATCTACTTATATGAAATTTTTGGCCATCTTATTCTAAAATTATGGCCTTGGATATGGTGTTGACCCTCTCACCCCTTTGTGGGACAATCTATACAAGACTGTGGACGCTTGACTATCACACCTATATGAGCCTGTTGGCACACTTATACTAAAAGCATGGCCTTGGATATAGAGTTGACCCCCTCACCACTTTGGTCTACAGTCTATACAAGTTTGGACACTTGACCATTACACCTATATGAGCTTGATGGACACGCCATTCCAAAACTATTTGAAGTTACCCCTTCTCAAACTCTATACACCCATACCTTGTGGCTTTAACATCCTTTACTCCTCTGGGAAGACTTTACAGAAGATTTTGGAAGGCGTCTGTGGATATTTGTGGCACTTGACTATCACATCTTCATATATGGACTTGTTGGCCATCTTATTCTAAAATGATGGCCTTGGATATGGTGTTGACCCTCTCACCCCTTTGTGGGACAGTCTATACAAGACTGTGGACACTTGACTATTACACCTATATGAGCCTGTTGGCACACTTATACTAAAAACATGGCCTTGGATATGGAGTTGACCCCATCACCACTTTGGTCTACAGTCTATACAAGTTTGGACACTTGACCATCACACCTATATGAGCTTGATGGACACCCCATTCCAAAACTATATGAAGTTACCCCATCTCAAACTCTATACACCCATACCTTGTGGCTTTAACATCCTTCACTCCTCTGGGAAGACTGTACAGAAGATTTTGGAGGGCGTCTGTGGATATTTGTGACACTTGACTATCACATCTTCATATATGGACTTGTTGACCATCTTGTTCTAAATTATGGCCTTGGTTATGAAGTTGGCCCCCTTACCACTTTGGTCTACAGTCTATACAAGTCTGTGGACACTCGCACCTATATGAACTGGTTGGCCATCTTATTCTAAAATCATGGCCTTCAGTATGGAGTCGACCTCCTCAGACCTTTGAAGTACAGTCTATACAAGTCTGTGGACACTTAACTATCACACCTATATGAGCCTGTTGGCACTCTTATACTAAAAGCATGGCCATGGATATGGAGTTGACCCCATCACCACTTTGGTCTACAGTCTATACAAGTCTGGACACTTGACCATCACACCTATATGAGCCTGATGGACACCCCATTCCAAAACTATATGAAGTTACCCCTTCTCAAACCCTTTACACCCATACCTTGTGGCTTTAACACCCTGCACTCCTCTGGGAAGACTTTACACAAGATTTTGGAGGGCGTGTGTGGATATTTGTGCCCATTTGTAAGGTCAAGTACTGATTTTGAATCAGAGGACTTGGCTCACAAGTGGCATTCCAATTCATCCTAAAAGGAGTTCAGTAGGGTTGAGGTCAGGGTTCTGTGCAGAACACTGGTTTTCCTCCACACCAAACTGGTCAATCCATGCCTTTATGGAGCTGGCTCTACTCTTCAGGGAGGGCATTCCACAGGACCTTGGAAGGTGTCTGTAGGAATTTGTGCCCATTTGTGAGGTCAGGTACTGATGTTGGATGAGAAGACCTGTTTCACAATCGTTGTTCCAATTCATCCCAAAGGTGTTCAGTATATTTGAAGTCAGGTATTGATGATGAAAAGCCTTGGCTTGCTCATCTCACCGTACGTTGGGTGGCAAAAAAAAAAAAAGACTCGGCATTCCTATTTATCTCAAAGGTTCAGTAGAGTTGAGGTCGGGGTTCTGTGCAGGACACTCAAGTTCCTCCACCCCAAACTGGTCAAACCATGTCTTTAACCGCCTCGCGCCTGCCATATAAGGTAATGACGGGTGCAAGGCGGTTCTCTTGTTCTGGGAGGACGTCATATGATGTCTTCCCACTCTAACCGTGTGTGCGCGGCTCCGGAAGCGCGCAGCTCAGCGATCGGTGGTGCGCTGTATCCCTCGGACACAGCGGATCACCGATCAACGGAAATAGCTGAAGATGTTGGCTCAGTCATGTGATCAGCTGTGTCCAATCACAGCTGATCACTTGTAAATAGGGAAATGCCGGTTATCAGCATTTCTCTCCTCTCGAGCTGTCACGCTGACAGAGGAGAGAAGAGCCGGTAATCGGCATTCCTCGGAGGGGACATCTACACTGATCATCAGGGCACTGATGATCAGTGTGCCCTGATGATCAGTGTAGCCCCCAGCAGTGCCACCTGTCAGTGCCCATCAATGCCACCTGCCAGTGCCATCAGTGCCTCATCAATGCCACATATCAGTGCCTACCAGTGCACATCAATGCCACATATCAGTGCCTACCAGTGCACATCAATGCCACATATCAGTGCCTACCAGTGCACATCAATGCCACATATCAGTGCCCATCTGAGCTGCCTTTCAGTGTCACCTATCAGTGCCAACTATCAGTGCCAGTTAGTGCTGCCTATCAGAGCCCGTCAGGGCCGCCTAACAGTGTCAGTCAGTGCCACCTAACAGAGCCAGTGATGACTATCAGTGCCACCTATCAGTGCCATATATGAGTGCTGCCTTTCATTGCCCATAAGGGATGCCTGTCAATGCCCATCAGTGCCACCTACTAGTGCCTCCTCATCAGTGCCCATCAGTGCAGCCTATCAGTGCCCATCACTGCAGCCTCATTAGCGCACATCAGTGAAAGAGAAAAATCACTTATTTACAAAATTTTATAACAAAAACTAAGAAAAAATGTTTTCTTTTTCAAAATTTTCAGTGGTTTTTGGTTTGTTTAGCAAAAAATAAATCCCCCGAGGTGATTAAATACCACCAAAATAAAGCTCTATCTGTCACAAAAAAATGATAAAAATGTCATATGGGTACAGTGTTGCATGACCGCGCAATTGTCATTCAAAGTGTGACAACGCTGAAAGCTGAAAACTGGCCTGGGCAGGAAGGGGGTAGAAGTGCCCGGTGGGCAGCAAGGGGGTAGAAGTGCCCTGTAGGCAGGAAGGGGGTAGAAGTGCCCTGTAGGCAGGAAGGGGGTAGAAGTGCCCTGTAGGCAGGAAGGGGGTAGAAGTGCCCGGTAGGCAGGAAGGGGGTAGAAGTGCCCGGTAGGCAGGAAGGGGGTAGAAGTGCCCGGTAGGCAGGAAGGGGGTAGAAGTGTCCTGTAGGCAGGAAGGGGGTAGAAGTGCCCGGCAGGCAGGAAGGGGGTAGAAGTGCCCTGTAGGCAGGGAGGGGGCAGAAGTGCCCGTTAGGCAGGAAGGGGGTAGAAGTGCCCTTTAGGCAGGAAGGGGGTAGAAGTGTCCTGTAGGCAGGAAGGGGGGGTAGAAGTGCCCGGTAGGCAGGAAGGGGGTAGAAGTGCCCTGTAGGCAGGAAGGGGGTAGAAGTGCCCTGTAGGCAGGAAGGGGGTAGAAGTGCCCGTTAGGCAGGAAGGGGGTAGAAGTGCCCTGTAGGCAGGAAGGGGGTAGAAGTGCCCTGTAGGCAGGAAGGGGGTAGAAGTGCCCTGTAGGCAGGAAGGGGGTAGAAGTGCCCTGTAGGCAGGAAGGGGATAGAAGTGCCCTGTAGGCAGGAAGGGGGTAGAAGTGTCCATTAGGCAGGAAGGGGGTAGAAGTGTCCGGTGGGCAGGAAGGGGGTAGAAGTGTCCGGTGGGCAGGAAGGGGGTAGAAGTGCCCGGTAGGCAGGAAGGGGGTAGAAGTGCCCTGTAGGCAGGAAGGGGGTAGAAGTGTCTGGTGGGCAGGAAGGGGGTAGAAATGTCCGGTGGGCAGGAAGGGGTAGAAGTGTCCGGTGGGCAGGAAGGGGGTAGAAGTGTCCGGTGGGCAGGAAGGGGGTAGAAGTGTCCGGTAGGCAGGAAGGGGGTAGAAGTACCCGGTAGGCAGGAAGGGGGGGGGAAGTGCACGGTAGGCAGGAAGGGGGTAGAAGTGCCCTGTAGGCAGGAAGGGGGGAAGTGCCCGGTAGGCAGGAAGGGGGTAGAAGTGTCCGGTAGGCAGGAAGGGGGTTGAAGTGTCCGGTAGGCAGGAAGGGGGTAGAAGTGGCTGGTAGGCAGGAAGGGGGTAGAAGTGTCCTGTAGGCAGGAAGGGGGTAGAAGTGTCCTGTAGGCAGGAAGGGGGTTGAAGTGTCCGGTAGGCAGGAAGGGGGTAGAAGTGTCCTGTAGGCAGGAAGGGGGTAGAAGTGTCCTGTAGGCAGGAAGGGGGTAGAAGTGCCCTGTAGGCAGGAAGGGGGTAGAAGTGCCCGGTGGGCAGGAAGGGGGTAGAAGTGCCCGGTAGGCAGGAAGGGGTAGAAGTGCCCTGTAGGCAGGGAGGGGGTAGAAGTGCCCTGTAGGCAGGGAGGGGGTAGAAGTGCCCTGTAGGCAGGGAGGGGGTAGAAGTGCCCGGTATTGGGTCATGTCAAATGGTGTAACATTACCCAATACAATTTCTTAATATGTGTGTCCCAACCTCAGCTACACGCCCTGCACACCGCCACCTCCAGCTCCTCAGCGATTCACCTGAATTTCCAGGTAGTAAAGCGTACTCCCTGTGTCCTTCATATGCACAGTACAGCTGGGGCAGCACAGGCTCCTGTCATGCATAATCTATTGTATACAGATAGACACCAAAGAAACCTCTAAATGGAATTCTAGCAATCTAATAATGAATATATACTGTATATATACACCAACCAACCATAACATTCTGATCGCTGGCAGGTACAGTTAATAACATTGCTCATTTTGTGACAATGACACCTGAAAGTGGGCGGGATATATCAGTCAGCAGGTGAACATGTTGTCCCTGAAGTTGATGTGTTGAAAGCAGAAAAAATTGTAAGAATCTGAGGGACTCTGACAAGGACCAAATTGTACTGTCTAGGCGACTGGGTCAGAGCAACTTCAAACCTGCAGCTCTTGTGGGATGTTCCCGGTCTACAGTGGTCAGGACCGACCGAAAGTGGTACAAGGAAAGAAAACCGGCTAACCAGCGACAGGGTCATGGGCAGCCAAGGATCATTGATGAAGGTGGGAGGGAAGGCTCATTGATGGAGGTGAGGAGGGAAGGCTCATTGATGGAGGTGAGGAGGGAAGGCTCATTGATGAAGGTGGGAGGGAAGGCTCACTGATGGAGGTGGGAGGGAAGGCTCATTGATGGAGGTGAGGAGGGAAGGCTCATTGATGAAGGTGGGAGGGAAGGCTCACTGATGGAGGTGGGGAGGGAAGGCTCATTGATGAAGATGGGAGGGAAGGATCATTGATAGAGGTGAGGAGGGCAGGCTCACTGATGAAGGTGGGAGGGAAGGCTCATTGATGAAGGTGGGAGGGAAGGCTCATTGATGAAGGTGGGAGGGAAAGATCATTGATGGAGGTGAGGAGGGCAGGCTCATTGATCAAAGTGGGAGGAGGCTCATTGATGGAGGTGGGGAGCGAAGGCTCAGTGATGGTGGTGGGGAGGGAAGGCTCATTGATGGAGGTGGGGAGCGAAGGCTCATTGATGAAGGTGGGAGGGAAGGCTCATTGATGGAGGTGGGGAGGGAAGGCTCATTGATGAAGATGGGAGGGAAGGATCATTGACGGAGGTAGGGAGGGAAGGCTCATTGATGAAGGTGGGAGGGAAAGATCATTGATGGAGGTGAGGAGGGCAGGCTCATTGATGAAAGTGGGAGGAGGCTCATTGATGGAGGTGGGGAGCGAAGGCTCAGTGATGGTGGTGGGAAGAGAAGGCTCATTGATGGAGGTGGGGAGGGAAGGCTCATTGATGGAGGTGGGGAGGGAAGGCTCATTGATGGAGGTGGTGAGAGAAGGCTCATTGATGGAGGTGGTGAGAGAAGGCTCATTGATGGAGGTGGGAGGGACACCAATGACACTTAGCTTGCTGACCCCTATTCCAGCATACCTGGTTGCAGCAGCACCATCAGTACGGCACACTTACCTGTCAGCTGTCCTTCTTCACTCCGGCCTCTCTCTCACTCGATGTTCGCGGGGCCGCTCTGCTCCGCCTCCTCGCAGGTGATTGGCCGCCTGTGTGCCTTTCCTGAGCTACAGTTCTGGCGCCCAATCACCAGTGAGGAGGCGGAGCCGAGCAGCAGCGCGAACATCGAGTGAGGGAGTGGCCGGAGTGAATGAAGGAGCAGCTCTTCCTGGACTGGATCGTCGTGGGACTGGGACCGGAGCCAGGTAAAATATAGCAGCCCCCTGCCGCCCCTGTACTTAGTGTCCCTTTCTCACAGCAAATACGCCCCTGCCGGTGGGCCGGATAAATTTCCTCGGCGGGCTGCATGTGGCCCGTGGGCCGTAGCTTGAGGACCCCTGCTCTAAACTAAAGGAAATTTGCCTTGCAACATGAACATCCTATTTGCCTTTAGTAAATCAACCTCTTAAATGCAACCTACCTACTAAAATTCAACCCTAAACCTCAACCTAATCCCTAAATCCAACCCTAAACCTCAACCCAATCCCTAAATCCAACCCTAAACCTCAACCCAATCCCTAAATCCAACCCTAAACCTCAACCCAATCTCTAAATCCAACCCTAAACCTAATCTCTAAACCCAACCCTAAACCTCAACCCAATCCCTAAATCCAACCCTAAACCTCAACCCAATCCCTAAATCCAACCCTAAACCTCAACGTAATCTTTAAATCCAACCCTAAACCTCAACCTAATCCCTAAATCCAACCCTAAACCTCATTCCTAAATCCAACCCTAAACCTCATTCCTAAATCCAACCCTAAACCTCAACCTAATCCCTAAATCGAACCCTAAACCTCAACCTCATTCCTAAATCCAACCCTAAACCTAATACCTAAATCCAACCCTAAACCTCAACCTCATTCCTAAATCCAACCCTAAACCTAATCCCTAAATCTAACTCTGAAACTCAGCCTAATCTCTAAACCTGAATTTAATCTCTAAACCCAGCTCTTAACCTTAGCCTTAAACCCAACCCTAAACCTCAACCTAATCCCTAAATTCAACCCTAACCTCATTCCTAAATCCAACCCCAAACCTAATCCCTAAATCCAACCCTAAATCTCATTCCTAAATCCGACCCTAAACCTCAACCTAATCCAAAATCCAACCCTAAACCTCAACCTAATCCCTAAATCTAACCCTAAACCTCAACCTAATCCCTAAATCTAACTCTGAAACTCAGCCTAATCTCTAAACCTAACCCTTAAAGTGAATTTAATCTCTAAACCAAGTTCTTAACCTTGCCCTTAAACCCAAACCTAAACCTCAACCTTGCCCCCACATCCAACCCTATACCTAAACCTAGCCCCAAAACACAAATTTAAACCTCAATCAATTCTTTAATCCAACCCTAAACATCAACCTAATCCCTAAATTCAACCCTAAACCTCATTCCTAAATCCAACACAAACCTCATCCTCATTCCTAAATCCAACCCTAAACCTCAACCTTAATCCCTAAATCCAACCCTAAACCTCAACCTAATCCCTAAAATTCAACCCTAAATCTCAACCTAATCCCTAAATTCAACCCTAAACCTCAATCTCATTCCTTAATCCAACCCTAAACCTAATCCCTAAATCCAACCCTAAACCTTAACCCAATCCCTAAATCTAACCCTGGAACTCAACCTAATCTCTAAACCTAACTGTTAAAGTGAATGTAACCTCTAAAACCAACTATTAACCTTACCCTTAAATACAACCCTAAACCTCCACCTTACTCCTAAATCCAACCCTAAACATCAACCTAATGCCTAAACCTCAATTTAATCCCATAATCCAAATCTAATCCTCAACCTAATCCCTAAATCAAACCCTAAACCTCAACCTAACCCCTAAACCTCAACCTATTCCCTAAATCCAACCTAAACCCTAAAACCTCAACCTAACCCCCTAAACCTCAACCTAATCTCTAAATCTAAACCTTAACCTCAACCTAATCCCTAAATCCAACCCTAAACGTCAACCTAATCCCTAAATCCAACCCTAAACGTCAACCTAATCCCTAAATCCAACCCTAAACCTTAGCCTAACCCCTAAACCTAAACCCCAAATCCAACCCTAAACCTCAACCTAACACCTAAATCTAATACTAAACCTCAACCAAATCCTTAAATTCAACCCTTACATTCAACATAACCTCCATATCCAACCCTAAACCTCAACCTAACCCCTAAACCTCAACCTAATCTCTAAATCCAAACCTTAACCTCAACCTAACCCTAAATCCAACCCTAAACCTTAACCTAACCCCTAAATCTAAACCCCAAATCCAACCCTAAACCTCAACCTCAAAATAAACCCCAAATCCAGCCTTAAACCTTTACCTAACCCCTAAATCCAATGCTATACTTCAGCCTAATCCTAAATCCAACACCCTTACATTCAACCTACCCTCTAAATCCAACCCTAACCCTCAACCTAACCCCTGAACCCCAACCTAACTCCTAAACCTAAAACTAAACCCTAAATCAAACCCTAAACCTCAACCTAATCTCTAAATCCAACTCTTACATTCAACCTAACCCCCATATCCAACCATAAACCTCAACCTAACCCCTAAACCTAACCCTAAACCTCAACCTAACTCTTAAACCTCAAACTAAACCCAAATCCAGCCCTAACCCTTAACCCAACCCCTAAATCCAATGCTATACTTCAGCCTAATCCCTAAATCCAACCCTTACATTCAACCAAACCCCAAAACCCAACCCTAAACCTGAACCTAGTCCCTCATAAACTCATGAAATCGGGGACTGTTTCCAGAACTTAGGGATGTCAGTTTACCCCAACCTACCCACCTCTTGGCTCACAGACGTCTGGTTAGCAGCACTGAGTGGGAGGGGGATGAGGTGCAGGGTACAGAAGGGAACTGATAAGGGGTCCAAAGGACATCTATACAAAGCAACTTTAATCATTTCCTCACAGCTGATAGGATACAAACGCCCTGGTTCTTCACACTGCAGCACAGGGAACGCA